AACAATTTTTATTTATTACAATGAGGAAAGTGTTTAATATTATGTATTTGCTGTTTTCTATTTATTTGCCTATCAACAGAGCTCATATATCTCTATATATTTTGTATTCACTATATAGATATATTTTGTAGTTTGTAGAATATTGCCACTGTTACGCCATGAATATCTTATCTCATCAACGCTTGAAGAATATATTTTATACGCGAATACCTAACTCAAAACTTCGCATACATTGTGGACTTTGTATTAGCACGGATTATGAACGATTTACAGATGCATTTAAAGTTTGCTTATATGCCATGTGTATATTTCAGTGAATGCGTGTCGTAGATAACATTGCCTTTAATTTTTCATATTTACATTAGAATGATTATGATCGTCATTTAATTTCATGCTCAGGTAAGTGTTTGTTTTTATTAATCTCATACTGTCGTGTCTTCGGTGTATTTTTAATGACGTTTGTTTTTTAGTTGTTTATTTACTTATATTTTGTACATCGGAATTAACATAGTGACGTTCCGTTCATGTCAGTTTACACAATGTCTGAAAATAACATTTAACAGTATGCTAATCATATATTGAATAATTACCCTTACATGTTCACATAGTTCAGTTAACATGTTCACGTGCAATTGCGCGCGCATTGAAAGCGCCTCTAGCAGGAGAAACCGTTAATTGGTGGCGTCAAAAACACGCATAATTAGTTTCACGAACCACGATTGGGAAAAAAAGTCGATTTTTTAAGAAAAAAATAATCTTTCAAACAGGAATGATTGAATATTTATTCGTGTGCCGTCTCCTTGGGGAGTCGAAAAGTGAGCCGAAACACAAATGAGAGAGCGAAACAAATATTTCTGACAGAATAATCCTATCTTTTGCTTGATACGAAATAAACCTTGTCATCTATCATTTTTTGTCAAAGCACACATCAGTAATAAAAAGAGCAATTATTCAACTGTGTCATAATAATGAAATATTTTTACGAATATTAATTTGTATTTGTATTAGTCTTTCTGTGAAATAAGGTCGTATCTTGGTATCGAATAATACATAAAAACAACTATTATTGTACAGAAACACGGGGCAGTGTGAATATTATTTGTGTATTTGTTATTTATTACTTGTTGATTTTGAAAAGACCTGAACCCATCCAACACAAGTCGCGATATGAGAAGAAAATATGTATTTATGTAGACAAACAAACACGCCATAACGCGTTTTACAATATAAAACAATCTTAGGAATATGAACACAAAACTATTTGTATCAAATAAATAGCATCATTTAACAGAAATATGGAACATACATTATGAGACCGCATTCAACTATGTTTTATATATACAAAAAACATTTCGAACATAAAAGAGCTTATTGAAGTGCATTATTCGAGTCGTTTGTGCAATCACTCTTTTCTTGAAATACTTATTTCCATTTCTCGATAAATCAGACTTAAAAGTAACGCTCGTCTTGTATGATAATATTTTTTTGTTAAACATTATAATGGAAAAGTGTCCTTTTTTATATATTGTATTGTATTGTATATTAGACAATATATCTGTTATTTATCGGCATGATAAGTTTATTTAATTTTTAAACTTATACTCACCTATACACATATCCTTTAAAATCTCAGTACAAGATCCAGCATCCTGGGGATGTTATTTAAATGCAATGTGTTACTCTCACAGTGAGTAATATTTCACCTTGATTAATGGTCAGCTGTATCTAACATGTCCAGCGCTCGTGTGTATTTCTCATCTGACCACGGTCCATTTGAAAGGAGACGCCATGCTATATGCATGGGTTGAAGTGAAACTGACATCACAATTGACAACTCGTTGATGCGCCTCTTCGTTCAATCGCAGCGGTGTCTTGAGAAATGAGTGACAGTTCTCTTTATACTGACAATATTTGTTCGGACTGAGCGATTAAGAGCTTGGGATCATTTGTATAGAGAAGTGTTGTAGCGTGTTTAAGAACATGATTGTGTGTTTCTGAGTCTGAAAAGTGATTTCGTTCATATTTCAGCTATTTTTGTCAAGGGAATATATCCCTTTTTGTAATTACGTTTCAATAAAATGATTTTCATTCAAACTTCCTACAAAATGTGTTTTAAACAGGCATTGATTAATAACTGCAATCAGTAATATTACACATTAACAATTATTATGACACAGCTTACAGTACATATTATTGAATTGTTGACACGATTATTGTTTAATTTTGGTCTTTGTTTCTTATGCCTTTGCATACAAAACAATTAGGATAAACAGTATTTTTAATTGTTGCCATGTTTAATAACATATTTATTTTGAAACTAGTTATCCTTTCGCTAAATGTTGGAAATATGTTAACTTTCACTCCATGGTTTAATGTCACGGTGTATCAAAAGAAGCCAATATACTACTTTGTCAATACAATTATGCAAGGCAATTATTGTGTTTAAGCTTCATATAAGGTCCAAAAAATTTCAACATGCAAGTATTTAAAGGATGAAACCTATGACCCACAAACAGAACACTATGGTGATACAAACACCGCTTCGCATGCATGACAAAATGCTCTTAATTTGTTTTTATTTCAAATACAAACAAATTTCAAGAGTGTGATATTCAGTAAAATACCACAAATAATGCATAAAGAAGAGAACAATTTCGCGGATATGCAATGATTCATTTTTCCTGCAAACGCCATCCTAATCTCCGGATATCTGGTTGTATTCCATTTTAAAGTTAGAAATAGTTTTACAAGTGGCAGACACTAAGCCGATGCTGTAACTAAAAGGACAGAGTATTTGTGTCAAGCCCCCGGTAACTCGTGGAAACCACTGACCCGCTACGAGAGGGCTGTGACTTCGTCTGACTCGAGTAATGCAACAAGAAGATATACGACTGAATCAGACACGCACATTCCTGTGGTTATCCATCTTTCCCATATACATACTCACGAAGAATTTAGTTTGTAAGGCTGTTCGATGGCAATGTTATATCTTCTACGTAAAAGTATATTTGTTGTACTTCGACTCGAGGTAGAATTTGAGCACATTTTATAGCATGTTTATAGTATTGTTTGAAAGTTTGTATGAGTGACTGTTGATTTCGTTTTGTCAGATTATTAAATCGGTCGCTTGTATCGCTGTAATATTTAAAATTTGTTATTTATTAATACTTTTTGTAAATGCTTAATTAAAAAAAAATATATGACACATTGGAAAGATAGATAGATGGGTAGAATAAATAAATAAATAAATAATCCAAACTTGAATAAGAAAAAAACATGTGTGCAAAACGCCTGTGAAATGCCCTCACTTTAAATTGAATGAATAGTTTCAAATCACGTTATCAGACGCAAGACGAACGTTGGCAACTTAACTTAGCGGAAAATAAACTTCTGTTCTCGCTTTGTCAAACATTATTGGTTTCTCGCGGTTTTGAAACATTTCCCAAAGTCCCAAACACTTTTTTGAAAGCTAACAGTCATAAAGTTTTACGGTGCTTGCTTGGCTTGTATCCATCAGTTGCAGACCAAATATGTGTGAATGGCAGTATATAGTTATTTCATTGTAAACAGCTACTGTGTGTAGTGCCCCTGGCATATATTTATGGCATATTAAGCTTGGGAACAAATGTCAACGCGTGATAGTATGTCTTTAGAATCAGAGTAGAATATATTAGCGATTACCAGGAATAATGTTACAACGACAGCATGTGTAGTATTGTTAAGCGTCCGTTCTCTGCCTTAAATCTATATTAAGCATATGTTTTAATCATACTTGACTTTTTTCAGTACCAATTTTAAGGTAGTGCGTTCCGCATGCTTTTTCAAACAGTAATTTGTTTCTGAAATGGGGAGGGCGGACAGTCCATGGGTGTGTGTTTCATGTGAAACTGACGAATGTGAGAAAGGAGACATTTTGAGTGACAGCAAGATGTAGTCATCGAGATATGAATACTCAAGTTTCTTTTCAAAATTGTACAACTTCTGCAGCAAAACACGGCCGATTTCTATCTTCGTATTTCCTTCACAGGTCATCTATGCAAATGGAACCGAATTATCTTTTCTTCAGATTTTAATTAAAGATTAACATGTCTCGTAATATGTAGGATTTGACAAAAAACCGTATCGATTTTTTTATCTTCGAGAACGAGATAAATGTCCGTGAAATAATATTTGTTTAAGGTTATGCTGAACTGTAAACAGTTTTTTTATCAGAGATTTAATGTTTACTTAGTAATGTTAGTTCGTGTTTACAAGAAACAGGAAACCATACATAGCTGTGTTTAACATGGGAATACACGTACAAGAAATACAACAGTTACAGTTTACTAGATGTATATTTAACGAGGTATGTATGGGTCACATTAAACATAATTTCAGCTGTACACAACATTCCTCCCAAGAGAGCTATGTCTATATAACGTTCTCTGGTTGGTTCGGCGCATGAATAGGATACGTACAATATCATTTCGATAACGTTTAAAAAGCTAAATTCCTAAAAAAATGCAAGTTGCATTTGGAAAGATTACCATGACAGTCAGACTGCTGTCGTGATTAATAACCCTGTTTGAATTTCTGCTTTGCTGCCTGACAATCTCTGGCGCTAATCCAGCTATTCACTGCAAGCCATGGTATTTACCTTCACGTAATTATATCTCTCGTACAAGAAAAATCACTATGACACTTCGACACTGACGTTGACAGTGCTACACCACAGATTAGTATAACATTCTGCTCCCAAGCAAACAAAACGGATAGTAATTTGAGAAATAGCAAGAAGCCAACTCATAAAAGATGCCAGCTAGCGCAGAATATGTATGTCATGTGGCCGTAACTAGACCTTGGGTCCAGGGGTAAGTTAACTGGGTAGGCCACTCAGATGCTACGGATGCCAAACTGTTTTAACAAGTTGATGGAGAACGCCTTTCAGGGTACCCCAGGGGTGCTGCTATCCCCTGCGAAGAGGAAGCAAATAAGATAGTGATAATTCATCTGACACTGACCTTGTCACGGCGGAAACTTGTGTATGAAAAATTGTCGTGTCTTCAGGAGGTACATTCCGTAGTTTTGATCTATCTTTTCGTATCCCATTCCCACTTTTGGAGAAAACCAAGTCGGCCTCACTTTACCAGCTTTGAGACTGTAATGGCTGCCAACTGGGAGGTAAGGCAAGGAAATAGCCGTTATGTGAGAATAAAAGCATTGCACATAAATCACACTAGGCTAACCGTCTTATTTTAATGGGTTTCGAATGTCCCCTTTCCTGCAATATTACAATGGCGTGGAAAGCCCTCACATTTAAATGGCTAATACTTGATTGCGAGCGATGCGTCCGACCACATGGTGGGCTCAAAAAACGGGAATTATTTTCCACTGTAAACGAGACAGTGTGAGCAGTTTTACTTGCTCTTCCATCGTTTATCATTCTTCCATTTATTTCGGTAGCTAAATCGATCACCGCAAAAGCTTGTTTGAAAAATTGTTTTTCTGACACCTCCTTGTGACTTTTACGACCTGCCTTACTCCGAGACGACAGTTGAAAAATTTAGTGAAACACCGCCCTATTATTGGATCATTAGTCACAAACGGCTGATCCTTCAATACCAAATGATCGGCTGACACTCAGGAGATTTCAAGGAGGTACGTATAGCAGTAAATTATCATTAAAATGCCATGAAGTCATCAAAACACAACTGCGAGGCAGATTAAATAAACATTAATCTCAAGCTCCAAATTGAGTTTGTTCCGTTGGATACGTCGCTGATGCCTTTGTCGAGTGTCGCAGTGTGGCAATAAGTCAATGCTAATTTGTAAAATTACATTTGTAAATCGCACTTACAGTGGCTTGGTTAAAATGGTTGTTGTGTAGATCCGTTCACACACATCCAATTATCGCGTCAGACGACCGACAGTGCCTGATAAGCGAGTTGATGACATTTGTTTTTTTGCCAGGATAGTTACAATTAAAAGTGAGTTAAATCAAGTGTATATTTTTACCGAAAGGGTGTAAATTGATTTAATATGTGTGATGGAGCTGTTTGTCAGCATCTCCACAATCCCGTCCATTAATACTGACAAGTGATAAAGTGTCTTTTGATTTAACATTGCTGGCGCGAATGAGTTACCCCCCTTCCCCCGGGCTTCAAATTAGAATGACCTCCCTTGTTCTATAAGCAATGGCTTGTGCAAAGAATAAATATTACATATGTTCTATGACTAATTAATTTTATATAAGCATAATGAAGTTGTTGTTCTTTAATGTGATGTGCATGTAAGGATTTCTTTTTGTATGCAACATTCTACTTTCTTAATCAACATATTTTATATACCCCCCAAAACATTTTTTTTTTAAATTATAACAAAATCGTGTGTTTAATTTGTTTTTCAAAGCAGTATGTAAGCGTCGTCTGGGTGCGCTACTGCTTTAAGGATTGTTAAGAAATCGCTCAATGTCCATTTGAAAAATGGACCGTTCTTCCTGTAATGCAACTTACAACACTGCCTCTGAAATTGACACGTTTTCCAGCGAGATCCAAAACGTATCGCATGCAATACACAAGGGTGTTGATGTCACCGCCCAGTCAATGTCTAATCTCACATTTCTTTTGTTAATCAGCCATTGATCCTGTTTTATAGAAATCAAATATTTATCCATAGCACAGTGGTTGGAGATAATGGATTGATGAGGGCAGTGGAAACAGGTGTCTCTCGCGAGGAAGACGTCTATCGATCTCCCCAGATTGCCTATCTGTGTCCAAGGTTGAAGGCTAGTTTAAAAGAATAAATGACTTTATATTGATCTGTATATAAACTCGGATTGTGAGTTTGAATAATACATGCGCATTACAATTGAATACTTTGGAAGCTGACACTTGGCTTTGTAAGTTATTCAATAATCGGCAGTGTGTTTGGGGGCTTCAAAAGGATGTGATGTCTTGACGAAACAAAGGTGTTCAATTCCTCTAATCCTTTGAATCAGTCTCCTGGAAACTATTCCCCTGTGAACTTTTCATCATCGATTTTTTAAAGATTCTGTAATCATGATGATGAGTGATATGAGTCTGGTTAAAGATGGCCGTATCATTCAGGAGTATTCCAAACGAAAGTCCCATGATCAGAGTTAATATTGTGCCAAAATAGATGTATTTGAGATGGTCGAAAATGTACAGGAATGAGTGAGTGAGTGAGTGTGGTTTTACGCCCATTGTAGCAATATTCCAGCAATATCACGGAGGGGACACCAGAAATGGGCTTCACACATTGTACCCATGTCGGGAATCTATCCCAGGTCGAGCGATCGCTTCAACCACTAGGCTACCTGACCGCCCCTGAAAATATACAGGAACAGTGGATATTGACAACTACATATATCACAGAAACAGAGTATGCTCTTTGAAAGATGTGACAATGAATCCGCAAGGTGAGGTGAGATGGTTTAACGTCGCGTTCAAGATTAGTGCACTTAAATTGCGTCGTGCATGCACGTGTGTGTGTGGCAGCTTGTACTAGTCCGTACTAATACCGATTTTATAGTGCTACCACGTCGCAGTTTGATATGAATACCCCACTCAGACACAGTATACCGACTCCGAACCAAGCAGTCCTTCTTTTATACCAATAATGCCGAGCGCCAAACCGGCATGAAGGCATTTGGTGTGACGCGGCCGGGAATCGAACCCCCGATCATGGACGCTCTACCCCTAGGCGGTCAATGAATTCCCTTTGCTAATCCAGGATTTGTATTGATATATACAAATGCAACGTGTTTCCTACACTGCAATATATTTCTGTGAGCAAGTTCACTGTGTATCCGATTTCGAGGTCCATATATATATAAAGCCACCCATTAATGGACAGAATACGTCCCCAGTACACCGTGCATGTCGTTAAGGTGAAGAGAGATGGGGTTTAACGTCGAGTTCAATATTATTGCCCAATATTATATGGCAATGTGCATGCACGTGTGTTTGTGTTGCAGCATGTATTGTTGGTTGTATTGTTTGTTGTTTAACGCCGCAATCAGCAACATTCCAGCTGTATGACGGCGGTCTGTAAATAATCGAGTTTAGACCAGACAATCCAGTGATTGACATCATGAGCATCGACCCATGCATCAACCAAGTCAGCGAGCCTGATCACCCGATCCCGTTAGTCGCCTCTTACGACCGGCATAGTCGCCTTTTATGGCAAATATGGGTTGCTGAAGACCTATTCTACCCCGGATCTTCCCGCGTCGTTGTTGCATGTACTAATCCGGACTTAAGTTTTATGATGCTAGCCCACTGATATACCATATCGCAGTTTTACATGGATACCCAACCCCGACACAGTATACTGACTCCGTGCCGACCAGGCTTTGTTTTAACGCCGAGCGCCAGGAGGGTAACAACAAGTACCATCTTTTACCGTTATTTGGTGTGACGCGGCCGGGGATCGAACCACCGAAGTTACGCTCTCCGGGCAGACGATCAAGCCACAACAATATTCTGCGTTTTTAAATAAGATTCAGTGTTTAATGGCTGTTTTTTTTTTTTGTCTGTTTGTTGTTTGACGCCGCACTCAGCAATATTCCAGCTATGTGACACCGGCCCGCTAATAATCAAGTCGTCTGGACCAGACAGTCCAGTGATTGACATCATGAACATCGATCTACGCCATTGGGAAACGATATCGTGCATCAACGAAGTCAGCGAGACTGACCACCCGATTCCGTTGGGTCGATGCTCATGATGTCAATCACTGGATTGTGCGGTCCAGACTCGAATATTTACACATCGCCGTCATATAGCTGGAATAATGCTACGTGCGGTGTTAAAAAACAAACAAACAAAACAAAACAAACAAAAGTCAACACAGCATTCCCACGTCTTTCATAAAGGTGTTTCAAAGCGCTTAAAGACCAATTCGTTGGGATAGGCCGTATTCTGTGGAAACAGGGCAATGATGCTAGATCCTGCATCCTCATGCCCCATTCTGGGCCCAGCATCCCAAACCAGATCACTGGGTACCAGACACCCTTTCGGCCACAAATTATCATATATCGTCGATAATTTTCACGTAAATTGGGGAATTAATCAGATTTAGTACGACTGACCCAGACAGGGGAATTACAAGCGACTTTCTGGTTGTTTCCGTGTAATTCTGTTATAAACGATCGTCTTGATAGGGTTTGGGTGTCTTTATCCACTGGTGATAAATGGCCGACAAAACGATGCCAATTAAACGGCTACATTTGGGTCCAGTAGCCACCTTGGTTTTGATGTAAGTTATATATTGGAGCATTCCGTCGACCTGTGTCTTTTGGAAATGATATTTTCCTGGTGACTTTTAAATTTGCTTAGTAGTTATTTCACCCATTGCTTTTGGTTCTCAGCATCCTTATTCTTGGTTTATGGAGTGAGTGAGTGAGTATAGATTTACGCCGCTGTTAGCAATATTCCAGCAATATCACGTCGGGGGACACCAGAAATGGGCTTCACACATTGTACCCATATCGGGAATCGAACCCAGGTCTTGGTTTTTGGAAGGTGGCAGCGTAGGTGTGTGTTTTGTAGCAGCATTTCAACATTACGCCCAGAATGTACTTCAATCATCATGGGAATCGAACCTGAGGCTTGGGCTCGGCGCCCGCACGCCTTTACCACCTGGACCCACTTGCACAAAGCGATCTTAGCGCTAAGATGATCGTAACTCCCATACTTTAACATAGGCTTACAATAGTCTTATCGCTAAGATCGCTTTGTGCAAGTGGGTCCTGGCCACACTGCATGGGTTGCTCTATGAATCTTCGTAATTTTACGACTGTAGTTTTTCATCAGATATTTCCAATTCAGTTTCATCAAATGTGAACGGTTCTGCGAAATGTCATGGAATTGGGGACTGCTTGGTTATTTCTGCTTATTCATTATTGTTATTTAGTGAATTTGGAAAATGAATTTTCTTTTCTTGACGTTTCAGTATTCAGTGTACCAGTCCCAAATTTAGATGTTATACCATGTAGTTTGTAATTGAACACGGGTCTTAGGTTTGGCGAACGAACACTTTCGGGTCCAGAGCACTCTGTTACTCCATCGGACCCGTGAAGATTCCGGGGGAGAATAGGTCTTCAGCAACCCATGCTTGCCATAAAAGGTGACTCTGCTTGTCGTAAAAGGCGACTAACGGGATCGGGAGGTCAGGCTCGCTGACTTGGTTGATGCATGTCATCG